ATACAATTAATTTAATCAAAAGCCTTTGTTTGACTTGATTGTAAATTGCAACCTTTTTACATACTTTTGAAACTGGAACTGGTTTCATACACTTGGTAATCTTCTTCTCATTCTTGGGGTGATGCTCTTCAATAAAATCTAATTTGAGAATGATCAAAATGATACATGCTTTTTCTTTGGACAATCGTAATTGATTGACTGATTTCAATATGACATCACAATTACGAGATGACTACAATGACATCTTGGTCATTTCCTGGTTCATGTAGTAAGCTCTTACTTATTTTTAATGGATTGTATTAACTGCATACTGCCAACTCTTAGATAATATAACTTGACTTTTTGATTTATTAAATTTTAAAACCAATTAATATGTCATTGTTTAAATAAATTGTAATATTTTTTCTTTCCCTTTGAATAGAATTAATTGATCATTTTGTACACCGACAGATCGTGGTCCACATCATAATAATCCCTGTAATGGTCAAATTCTTTTTTTAAAGTTTCGCTGGCGGTTTCATAGTGGGATGGTCCCAACGAACGTTAGTAGTGTCCGCATATAACTAAAATCAAAGGACGTCAGTCACAACTCCAAACCAAAGAACTTTTCCAAAAGTCAGTCAGAAGTAAACCAGTTGGGGATCTGAGAAGGTTAAGTTGGGCATGCAGTGTGTTATGACGAAAATTTTGTCCGGACAACAATTGAATTCCAAATGTCAAGGGTTTTTTAGATGCATGCCAAGGTGTACATGGGGACTACAGTTTATCTGGTTCAAATTCCAGCATATGATACGCTTGATTCATAATTCTCCTGAATTAGTGGTCAAAAGAACTAATTAGCGCCTGTTCTCTTGATTGAATTTTTAAAATTCAATCTTTTAATAGGAAAATAATAAGAAATATTTGTTTGTTTCATGATGGTTTTATTAATATTCTTTAATGTGATGTACAAACAAAAATCAGATTATCATTTTATAGATTTATAAAATGTCATTTTATGATAATTCTTGATAGATCACAACCATCAAAGTGGATTAATTGTTGGAAGTAAAAAATAATGTCCAACAATTATCCAGAAAGTAAATGACTAAACAACGATCAAGATAAGATTTTTTGACACTTGAATACTTAATTAAAGTTCAAAAATTGAAGACAAATATATTTTAATTCTCCTGGGTTCCATTTTTTAATCGCTATTATGAGCTATTATCACTTTGCAACCTGTGGTAAAAGAATCATTTTGAATTGGATTTGACTTTGCAGTTAAATTTGGATGATCATATTAGATAATATGTTCAAAATTGAGGACAAATCTTTCAGTCAGTTGCAGTGATACAATCATTGTACTTTTGTACCGTACTGATTTTCTAGAAGTTTTCAAGCAGATTAGTGATTATACTTAGGTTAGCGCCTGGATTCTTGAAAATGAGATGAGTTTTAGGCTGTGTGATCATGGAGAAATAGGTTCAGATCAACATTTTCCTCTCATACCGAAAGGATTGGAATTGATGCAGGGGTGATCTTGCACAAGATTAATGATGGTGTTGAAGTAAGATGGCAGGATTAAGGAATTCATATTGAGTTGCTACAAGAACTTGTGGATTAAGACCCTACCAGTGCATTTTATCCAAGGCAAATTATCAAAGATCTGTATTATTCACATAAGTGGATTGATATCTGAAGTTAACTTTGGATATTACTTGCAATGTAAATGTAGCCAAGTGTTATTTTGGTTCTGTATTATATAACATTAATTACATTATTGGCTTTGTAAAAGTGATAAATGATAGTGATAGATTCATTAATGTTGTAAGTAACAATATACAACTTCATCCAAAAGTAATTACATGTAACCTAAGTATTTCAAAATGATGGCTGTCCACAGCATAGTTATTTGTGAATTTATCATTTACAATGAACAGCCACTGAAAGTTAGGATATATTACCTTCAGATACTTTGTGAAATGTAAATAGTCTACTTTAAAATACTGGTAATTTAGAAACCTGGAATTTGGTGCCATTGAGTGTTGAGTTCTGGATGGATAGAATTACATCATACAATCTCTTCAACTTAATATATGTAGTCAATAACTATAATAGTTTTACTTGTTGGGGAGAAGAAAATTAAAAAAACAGATGCTCAGTCAATAAAGATAAGTAGTGATGAAATGAAAGGAAATTGGTCTGATGGTAAAACTAACAACATCCGTTTCCTAACTCCTCTTACACCTGCTCATATAATTTATCCAGGTAGAAATAAGAGAACTTTAAAAATTCAGTGATTACTACTGGTCATTTCAATCCTTCTGATTAACTGTATGGGATGAGCTAATCAAAAATTGTGTTGATGACTTGATGCATTACCTACACATTAATATCCGTTTGATGTGATTTGATTACATTTAAATAAGGATGAAAGGACCATCAACTCAAATTATGCTTGGCAATTTATATACGCCCACATTTTCATGTGGACGTATAGTGTCGTCGCACCTGTCCGTCCTTCCATCCGTCCGTCCGTCAGTTATTCCACAATTGTTTGTGGACACTCTACAGGTCACAATTCTTATCCGATTTCAACGAACCTTGAAATATAGGTTGATCTCCCTAAGATCTCGGTTCCTTTCGATATTGGCATGTATCGGACCATAAGTTCATGGATTATGGCCCCTGATTGTATGAAAAATCACGTTTTTAGCTTGATTTTGATGAAACTTGATAAACATGTTTTTTTACCCAAAGATATTGGTTCCTTTTGATATTAGCGCGTATCGGATCATAACTTCCTGAATTACATGTATGGCCCCTGTTTGTACGAAAGATCCTGTTTTTAGCTTGTGATCCCTCTAGTAGTCACAATTATTACCCGATTTAAAAAAACGTTTGAATATATATCACCGTTGAAATATATCCCCATTCCACCATAATTAATGTTGAATTCGAATTTCGGGAAAATCGAAATGAAACTGCCCGACAAAATGTCCGCTCTTTGTACGCAAATTGTGTAAAAGTATGCAATACAAAGGTTGTAGACCCTCTAGAGGTCACAATTTTTATCCGATTTTGATGAAACTTAAAACATATCTTTATATCCCAAAGATCTCAGACCCTTTTGATATTTGCACATTTCAGACCATAACTTTCTGGAATGTTGCCCCTGATTGTACAAAAAATCCTGTTTGTTTTTAGCTTGTTCTCTATAAATCTCTTGCAAAATGTGGGCGCATCCTGCCTGGTTTTCTGGATTTACTCAATTTATGATTGTTTTGACCCATTGGATTTATTTCATGTGTGACTTCTACAACTAATAGTTCTGAAAGATAAAGTATAGTTATTCAGGAAAATACTGTAAGCAAAATGGTGGCTATTGATGTTACAGAAGGGATGAAATCACCTGTCTAATTGTCCACATGTGGTGATAAAAAATATTGGTCTGTTTCCGACTTAAATTACGTGCATTTCACCTGTTCAGTCTTAACACACCTAAAAAAAGAATTGGGTTTAAGTCTTTATATAGTTGAACCACAGATGATAGTCCATAGATTTTGCACAAAAAAACTGGCACAAATCTCAAATTTTACGGTTAAAACCGTCCACATTCCTCTTACTAAGAACTTTTAACGGATGAGGAAATTGGACATGGTACTAACTGAAAACGGACACTTTTTGCTATGGACTTGGTCCCCCTCCCCCACTGCTTTAGACTATCGGAATCTCAGTGTACAACTCAGATCTGGTCATAATGTGGTTAACACTAAGGAGTTCACCTCTGTGTTTTAAAAAAACCCAACTCAATTTGATATGATTTGTCAAAACAGTTCTGTTGAAATACAGATTTCATGCAAAATTTGCAATGTAGATAATGTTACTTTCAATTTTTGAGTCATATAAATATTTGAGCAGTTTTCAAGAAGTTTAACAAACTACACTGGTGAAAAATATTGCACTCCATACCATTCAATTAATTTTTTTTTCTATATGTTGATTCTAAAATTATTAAATAATAATTTCACTTATATCTTGGGGAACCTTTCTTGAATAAATCCTCTGAACATTTAGAGTTTTAAAGACGTATTGCAGAAACCTTTATCTAAAAATGAAATTGCACTATGAAATTCTTTTTAGAATCGTATTTATACCTTTCAAAGAATTCAGGCTGGCAAAGTGTTTGTGTTGGTCCAAGCAGACATGAGACTGTGTTGTTGTATTGCAGAAGTGTTTCTTTTATAAATAGAGTCTGTGATGTGATTTACTGTGCTTTTAATTGAGCATAAGATTTTAGATCTTTGACAACAATTTATGTCCATGCTATTTAAGGGATTTTTTAAAGTCTAGAATCGATATAATGTAGTATAAAAAGCTAATGGTTTGTGTCGGAATGGTTTTGATTCACAAAGGGTGAAATGCAGCCTTAGCGGTCAACTGTAAGCTGTCCTTCCTATTTTGGTGAATGATCATAAGTGAAATATTCTGTTTGGTTCCTCAAATTATAGATGGAATGAAAAAGCTAACAATGTTTATCTCCACTTGTTTTGGAAATCTACAATTTATCAAACTGTTCACAAAAAATCAGTGTGTCAGAAATATAGTATTAAAGTAATATTTTCTAGGTATAAAAACACACAGATTTTTTAAGTTAATGTATTGACAGCAAATAAAAATGAAAATATGAAGTGCTCTAGGGATTTTGATTTTATTTTGACAGTGTAACTAAAGCATCAATTTATGTTTTTAAACAACAATAGCAAAATTGTGCGAAAATGTCTGAAAGCATTTACATATCATATTCTTGCACATAATGTGGCTAGGATAAACAGTATAATCTTTATTTAGTCTAAATTTGATGAATATAGCAGGATATAGAATTTTAAATTTTACTGACATTATTATTTCAAGAAACTGTGCATTCTAGATTCGTTGTTTCATGACCACCTAGTTTCTTTGTATTATTTTGAGGATCATATAAACCGAAATTAATTAAATATGTTTTTATTTTACAGAAAATGTGTAGATTTGAAGAACAAGTGATATTATCAGGAGTACTGTTGATTTTATATCTTTCTCCAGGATTTTATACACAACAAAATGGTAAGTATTTACATTACCATATTTTTGTCCCTCAATCCAATAACTCAATTCAACACATCTTGATAAGGTGTAAAATGTAATTTATTATTAAAAGATACAAATAAATGTCTAGAAAACAATACAAATATAAACATTATTCAAATAACAATACACATTATAATAATCACAATAATTATATTACCTGATTGCCTACAATTATCATGTTGGGCTAAATTAGAGCCCGCAATTCTGCCAAATGCATTCCAACTCTAAAAAACCAGTATGAAAAGATTAGCTCAACACAAGGTTTATTATTAAAGGAGCTAAACCACTTTGATTTAGCCTAAAAGCTGATCTGATGTGTTATTTCTATTAGTGATGGGGCAAGGGCCGCAAACTCTGTACAGTACCTTATTGTGTTGAATGATTAAACAGGAGTCAGCTTGTTTACTGATTTTAATTTTATGTTCTTTTACTCACTTAGTCGACATAGGGACATAGGAACACAAAATCACTTATATCTTAACACTTGCTTTATCTACAGACAGAATGCAAGCTCACAAAACAGGTCAACATATAAAATCCAAAACAAAAGAGAGAAAGAGAGAAATGTGGTTTAACGTCAACTCAACACAAACTAGGTCATTTTGGGACTATTTCAATAATTCGGTTGCGCGTAGGGGTCTTTAGCAGTGGGAGGAAAACAGAAGAGAAGCCGGAGAAAATCCACGAGGTTGGACAGGCGACCCTGCTCCTTGTCACGTACAACCGAGGAATCGAAACCAAGCCAGTTGACTCAATGACAGACCTTATGATACAGCGCTCGCACAATAACCATTCAGCCATCCAACCCCCCGACTAGTCTCTGTCTACAAGTGTATGCTGTTTGACTTGCCATGTTTTTATTTTGCAAAATTCAAATATTCTTCATATATATTTAGCCAGGTGTGCCGCTATTTTTTCATGTGTTCCAAGGTGTGCTGTTGGCAAAAAAGGTTGAGAACCACTTATATAGGCTTTATATGATCAATGAAATATACATGCAGTATGCATTACCAATCTGATCCTATTTTGTTTCGTTTTTTATAGTTTAAAATTTTGTCTTCACAACACTAGAATCTAAAAGAGTTGTTAGTTTAGTTGAAATACGCTATAAGCAGGAGTGTTTTATTATGGTGATAATGTGTATAAAAAAATTAACATTATTAGAAGTTCAGTAAATAGCATATTAGTAAATAATCAAACATGATAATAATTGGTGTCAATCATCTGTTTATTTGAAATACATGTTTGTGTGTGTCTTTAAGTTAAGATGTAGCAAAGTTCAAAAGAACACCTCAAAGATTATTCCTCTCGTGAATATCAACATTGTGTAGAAATCAAAACTCAATCAAAAGATAACTTTAGCCTCTGGAGCATCTTTAAGATTTTATAAATTGAGCAAGGATGATAAGTCATGAATTTAAACGCTGTGTATAAATTTCAAATCAGTCGGATTATAACTTTATCCTCTACATTGGACTGTGGTGATGTTAACAAATAGTGGTCTATTCCCTACCATTAACAATTATATGGCACAGATCTGTCTAGAATTATTTAAATTATCATGCTTTAAGAGATGTGTTTACCCCATTTATCACTGAAGTTATTTATCTTTTGATTATTTTAAATAACATGCAGCCTACTAAAACTACCTCTTTAAAATACACAAGTCTTGATAATCAGCCAGGGAAAGATCAAGTTAACCTTAATGCAGTGCCAGTAAAATCCTTAACCATTGTAAAAAGAAAGATGCCAATGTTTCATGTGTAATGCTTCTGTAGACATGATGAAGTTAATGAGGTATATAAGAAATATATTGAGAGCGAGACATTATGAAATATATTGATACATGTACTGCACCAGGGCGTCAGCATTAATATCAGTACTACTTTATGTTCCGAAAAGTCAGTCAACCTAAGAAAGCCAGATTGACAGTATTCTTAGAGTGGGCATGATTTGAGGTTTGTCTCCTCACTTTCCCCATTATTACTATTATAGTGAGAATTTGGTGACCAGTTGACAGCAACAGTCCTTGTAATTCAAATAGTCTAAGTGAGTGTTCTATCACCCGTTGCTTAATTAAGATGACTAGCTTGCATTATCACCTTGGTCCAAGCAAGGAAAGCACAACATATTGTTTGCAAAATAACCTGTCTAAAGTGGTTGTATTATTTTGAACAGTAAAACTAATGTTTCTTACCTGAAAATTGTCTAAAACAATCAATTCTGTACTATTACTTGTACCTGGTACACTTGGTAGTTCAGAAATTAAATGTAAATAAGCTTATGTGAAATCCATTAAGTGGCCAGGGGTAATTTGCCAATAAACCTGGCCTTGCCTCTGTTTAATTAAAATTTTAAAACCTCAAATATTTTTTCTTGCAACATTAATTGTTAACTCTGTTTAACTAATTCTGTTTAACCTGATTTATTTTTGTAGCTGACTCTGCTATGACAATGTAAAATTTATCTGGATTGCAGACTATCTGCTGTTGGCTTCTTTTTTTTTATAGATTATAGCATATTTTAAAGCACTGATTTATCAAAATCATATGAAATGAAAGTAGTCTACAATTAAGTTAAACTATCAATTGCATTAGTTAGCTAATAACTAGTTACATCTGTTAAATATAATTAGCAGATTATAAATATTCGCATCTGATTGTGGCAAATACAAAATTTTATTCTCCAATCCAATAATCTTGATACTTATATGAGCTTCTTAATTAATGAAAATCGTACTGGAGACAAAAAGTTCACAGAATTTCTGCTGGTCAAGGTGACCTATACATTGATATCCTGTACTAAATCTCATACAGTTTATTTTGGTTTCTTTCCCTGTAGAACAGTTCTCAAAATAATGTTACAAACTGATAAGAGATATTTTACACAAATTAAAAAATTTTATGTCTGCTATCTGAACATATTTTTTTTTACAAGAATGGGAAGCTGGGTATAATATTCAGCTATTTTCGGGTAATAAGCTATTTATATTATATCTTATCGCAGAGAAAAGGATATGGATATAATATACACACTGAATGTTTTTTAAATTCAAATCATTTTTGTCAAACAGCATTTTTTTCATACCATTTGTAGAAGACGAGTGTTTTTGCTTTAAACAGAATTCTGACTGTTGTTAGAGAAACATTTATTACCATTTACTTATCAGTGGTGCCAAAGATAATATACAATAATATTGAGGTTGGTGAAAAAGGAATTCTCAGGAGAAATTAAAAGGCTACCATTATTTCAATGCCATAAATTAACAGGGAAATCTAATGTTCGTTATATCTCTATTTCTTTGATGAACACGACTGTATACCTCACTGATTGGAGAAGTGATATTCAATTCATGTCAGACGTCTTCATCTAATCTGTGTGTGAAAATCAGATGTATTCTGCATTGGATGTTTTCTAATCCTAATGATGCCACAATACAATAAACAAGAAATTCTAGTTGAAAACTGTTAAATGACATCGAAAAAATATAGTTGTGTTTTGCCAACTGACAACTGGTCTCCTAAAAAAAAAAAACAAGAACAAAACAAAGACAAAAATAAAAGTAACCTATCCTATGAATTGTTCTAATGATAACACATATGCTGTAGAAATGCGACTGATGATTGCGCGTTAGCTATCTGGAGCCCTGGGACTTCAAGATGGCCGCATGGCAGCGTTCTGAAAACCAGGTTTTGCCAGACAGATGATTTTTATATACATTTTTATACATAAAAACTAAAAATTAAATGTATCTATTGCATTTTGAGGTTAAATCTTTGAAATTTTATTTTCATGGCATATAAATTCTCTGACAGGTAAGTTCTCCAGTCAGCCTAGACCCACACATAGAACTGAAATGAGAGTCCTGCCCCAAATGCCTCTTTCTTAAAATAACTGCAAACTGTGCAATACAGACCTATTAAATCACAAATCTTATCAAAACATTGCTTCTGCCATTAAAAATTGTGTACATAAATATATAAATTGTCTGAGGTACTAGACACTAATGATGCCAAAGAGATAAATCATGCAAATTTGTAATGGCCTCTCCAGCTATTTCAGTGTAATGAAAGAACAAATATCTGTGAAACATACTTTAGTTATATCACTTACAAGCATCTATTGTAGCTTCATTATCAGCAAAATAAAAATAAAACTAACCCTATTTTTACAGCTATAGGAGGTCTTTTCAAAGTCTTCTGTAAAAATCGCTATGCATTATACAATATAAATACACTTTTCTCATAATAATGTTTTAATAGTTACTGTTACGAAAAGCTGCCAGGTTCTTAGGTTTAGCACAGGTAAAAGAATAAAATACAGTTTGAAGACTTAATCAATATAATTTCTGGTTGTTAAGAGACTAACGAGGTAATATTTTATGCCTAATAGAGAATTTTACTCAGAGAAATGAAATGAAATAGGCTTTAACATCCTACTGTTCTGCTCTGACTTGGTTAATGAAGATGGGCATACGCCATACAGTGTACTATGAGGGAAAGTTTTGCCCGGACAATGTCACTGCTGTCTACCCTATATCGAATTCCAACTGCCAAGGGATCTTTTACGTGCATGCCAATGTTACACGGAACCTCGGTTTTTCATCCCCTCCTAACAACTATATGTTTCCCTTGCCAGGCCCTTGCCTGCACCACAGGGACAAGGTTGAACCATGCCAGAAAATCCTGATGAACTTTCTTGGCCAATGCAAGGATCGAAAACACGGCCTCCAGGTTAGCGAGCCAATGTCTCACCGGTTGAGCCACTTTACTCAGAGAACTGCGTTTCTGTCAGTTCTCCTTCTACCTTCAAATTAAAAATTATTTTGATGATGAGATGACAAACAACATTCTGTTTCCTCTTACTACCATATGTACAATGGGTTCTACCATAGTTTTCCAGCCAGTATAAGTCAATACTTTTTTCAGCATCTACTTAAATATTTCTGAGAAGCAACACCACCAAGCCACCATATG